GAGGTTCTTCTACCACATGTGCTTTGTTTATAAATCACAGTCAAAGCATTGACATATCCTGCCCTGCTCAATCAACAAGCTCCTTTACTGTATGGCTGCGGGAGATTTCTTGCAAATGGCAAAACAGTGCTTCAACAACCTGTAAAAGCTGCAATTAACTGTGGATGAAAAGGATGGTCTCCTTGGAGGTGCTGGGTAATCAAGCAATTATAAACTACTTCCCATTACCTGCATTTCCACAAAGCAGAGCTAGAATGACATCCCTCCAAATGACTATCTTTCCATCTGTTTAAGCCCTTTATATGATTTGGCTTCAGCAGAGAAGTCTTGACCTCTGAGCTCTCCTCAGCCTTTTCTCCCATCTTAAATAAAACAAGCATTGTAAGCGGAGCTTTAAATCACTGGTGTGTTCTCCCTACGCAACTGTTTTGCCTCAGCCTTCCCTGAAGCACAGCAAACTCACCAGCAATGGCATATATTTATATGCAGGTATGGATACCTGCAGTTAGGATTTCTTGGGATCCCTCATGTGACAACATCTGAGGCTGCTCAGCTTCAACCATTTCTACTCCTCTGCAACAGTTTCAGCAACTGTTAGATGTGAAGGTAAGTCAAGAGACAAGGAGAGACACTCACTCTGATGGCTAGTCACATGCCTTACAGCAGCCTGTCACTCCCCAAGCAATGACAGCCTGGACACAGAGCACCTGGGCAGCCACACGACAAAAGCACCTCATCAACATGGGAACGACCCTGCCTGGGACCACACTGCCCTCAGCTGGAGGTGTGCTAACTTTATCCTTGCCCTAATCCCCAACCAAACAATCTCACACCAGAGACAGGAGCAATGACTAGAGAAGCTGCCCAACAGGAATGTGCCAGAAAGAAGTAGGAACTGGGATAGGGATGGGGAGGAAGGGAGTGTCTCCCACCAAGGAAAATTACCTCCAACATGAGTTAAGGCCTGAGTAGAGTATGGCACAAACATACATGAGTATGGCACAGACACAAAGATATCAAGAAGGAGAATAAGAAGCCCTAGGGAAAAGGTCAATAAGTTGATTAAAAAATGCCAATGTGTAAGGATGGGCTGGAAGCTGATGAGCAATAGGATGTGAAAAGTGACATTTTGCTGTACACAGGAGAAGTAATACAGTGGTGCTGAGTGGGTAGGCTATGGCCTACTTGGATGTGCAACACGAGGAGGTATTTTGGGACAAGAAAGAGTGTGTGTTGGCATAGAGAAGAGTACACAGTGAAGCAAGGAGATGCCACAGTGACACACAACTGTGACAGCACTGTGCAGTAGCAGAGAAGTGAGACCATATTAGGGAATGCACTGGACAGTAGTGGAGCCAGGCAACAGAAAGGCAAAAAGGATATTTGGAAGACCAGGGTTGTATAAGCTGACAAGTCCTTCTGCAACCACTACACCCTATGACAAGGGATGATGTGAAAGGTCCTTAATCAGAACAGAGTGGCATCATCTCCCTAGTATCCCTCTACCCCACAGCCACATGACAACCCTTTCCAACAAACCTACGAGGGGAAGGAAATGTCCCTAATTCCAGTGCTGTCAAAATTTCTTCCACCTTTTCTAGTTTCTAAGCACAAAAATTTTGTGCTTTTAAGGTGCACCCACTCTGAAAGTTTTATTTTCCAGAGCTTCTCATCAGTCTTTCTTCCTAAAATGTGTGGTGTCCACATTTCGCCAGAAGTTGCCTGGCTCTGCTCTGCATGCACTTCGTTGAGTTAGAGCACTTAGCTGAACCAGCTGTCTCTCCCTGTGTCATTAATAGTTCTGCAGAGAAAGAACATATTTGGCTTGCTTTCATTTTCCACACTTGACACCTTTTCACTTTCAGAACCTTGTTCAAGCAAGGAAGATAAAAATAGAGGCAGGAGAGACTCTTTCATTCATACCTTAACACCCATTTTTATGAACAGAGCTTTTCCCAACTGCTCCAAGGAATACACCCAGAACAAGCCCAACCTGCAGTATCTCCACTGTCTCACAAAAAGATTCTTGCTCTGTGATCCCAGTGGTGATAGTTTCCAGGAGTTATTGCAAAGATTTCTTTGTGCAGCCTCTCCCACTGCTACTACCTTGTGTTACCCTGCAAATCCCACCATCCACCTCATCCTCTTGCATATAACACTCAAGAGAATGATCACCTCCCACTATCACTCATCCAAACCACTGTGGCTGAGATTAGAAAGCCAGCATTTGCACACTACTGATTATTTTTATCCCAACAATCCCTGATAGGTACACAAACTAGCCCTGGACTTAAAATAGGATTAGACAGGAAACCTCACCAGTCAGCATATATGATGCTTCTCCTTCTGTGTCAAACCTATGCCATTTGCCTTTACATCAGAGATACATGCTGCAGCTCCCAGTCCCCAGCCATGATGCTAGCCTAAAACGGGAGACCCCCATCAGCAGGGTATCAAGTAAGTTTGTGTGGGGGCAACAGAGTCATGTTGAACTGCCAGAAATCCACCTCACAAATTCTCTGTCTTTGCTCAAACATCCATCCCATTAGCATGGTCTCCATTTAAGCCAGTTTTCCCACAAAACATTTATCAAAGATCCAAGCCCATGATAAGATTTGCAGGAGTAGGTCACATCAGAAGGCTGACTATTTCTAATTGACTGAAAATATAATGCTTCTGTACATGAAATTGGCTTTTTTGATCTTCCTGCCCTTTTGCAAGCTCTTGCCTAATTTGTTAGCTTGTCACATTCCTCCCTGGGTATCACTGTATTTCCAGTTTCTCTTTCTCCATTTGTTCTGCACTGATCCAGGCTGTAAGTAATTACTTCTTGCCTACACTTAAGATTCATATAAAGAGCCCTGCTCTTGGTCCTAACAGGAGTTCTGGAAGTCCTACCACCAAATTCAAGAGCAGCAGGACCAGGCCTAGGCACCATGAGAAGATTCCCCCATTGTAATTTTTTTCTTCTATTTGAATTCATCTGCAAGTTCCCAGGTGTGATGCTGGCCCCAGGAATGAAAATTTCAGGATCCCTCTCTGCACTCTTCTCTGCCCTGATACTCCACCTTCCATTCTGCCACCTATATTTCAGCTGAAGTATATCATATTTAAAATATACTGAGGATCTGGCTACACTGAAATCGAATTTGTTCCTGAAGCAACCCTTTTAAACCCTCTAGGCTCCAGCAATGACAGCTTTGGTGCATTAGGTTCCCAAATCCTTTCTGGTTTTAAATATCTTGATTTGGTACCTTGTAAATATTAATACAGGCTTTTACATCAGCTTTTAATACTACCCAGTTTTACAAGGTCCTTTATTTTTATATATGTAATTCTCTTCATTTATCTCTTATCATTGCTCTCTTTCTCTTGTTACCATTTCCTCTCCATCACTTTCTTCCCATTTCTACCTTTTTTACACTCCCTCCCTCTGTAACTTTAAAATTAAATATTGCCCAGCACTGGCCAAGTGAAGGAAGTGAATGCTATGAGGTAAGGTTGCTGTGGAGACTGTATTCGAGCTGCTTCACTGGGAATCAATGAGGCACACAGCGTTCATCTAGCTCCCAAGAAACACAAAGAAACCAGGGATTATCAGTGGCAGCTGCACACACACTTGAGAGAAAAGGTCCCACCTCCAAGCACCTACTTCAGCCTTTAAGAGACATCAGATAAACTGTGCCAGAGGTGGGTAGTGTGGTAGTTTAACATGGGTTAACTTTGGGGTGGCTTTCCACAGCTCCTGTGGGAGATTGCCACATGGAAGCCCATGGAGACAGAGGCCTGCAGGGAGCGGTCAGCCTGCTCTGCTCCATCTATCCACTGAGCTATGAAACAGTTGGTACCAGCCATGCTACAAGGATGGAATCCTAACAGAGGGAGCATGTTGCAGACTGGGGGCTGACATTAGCCCTGCCATTAAACTGTAGGGAAATAATAATGGTCATTCTTGGCTAGACAATATGTATACCCTTAAACTACGCATAGGCATAGGCAGACTCGCCCCATTCAAATATGCCCATAATACAACCTCTAGGTGCAAATACTTCACTTACCTCATGTTTCCCCCACACCTCCTTACTACACAGTCAAACAGGCCAGAACAACCAAAATAACCCCAAAAACCTTTATATATGAGAAACAACAGATGTACACACTGCTTCCCTTATTCAACCTTCTGTCTTCCTCCCCCTCACACTTTCCCTAGCATCACCTTTGCATACTGTTGCCTCCTGCCTCCCTCTTTACCATGTCAGCCATGATCCTTGAAATGCCTCTCCTCAACCTGGGCTAGAGTGTGAGGGGATATCTTGTAAAGAGCAAGATGCAAAGTAGCAGAACACCCTCAGTAATTTACTGTGGTTACTTCCCTTATATCTAAATGAACACAGTCACCTACCTACTGATCTCAGTGCTGTGGGCTGCTGAGGGTTAATGATGGCACTGACTCCTGAGCTACTGCGTTACCTGACTGCAGCACCAAAAGTGATTTATGCTATTATTTTCTTTGGGGGTTAATTAGGGGCTCGAGAAAGTAAAGGGCTGTCAGTGCTAGCTGGAATTGGTCTACTGCAGCCAGGGGAGAGCAGTCATCCCTCACAGAGCTCTGCCAATATATCTTTGTCCTAAACATCAATACCTCCAGCTCCCACTCCTCAGTGTGGCAGACAGCCCTCCATCCTGACCTCCAGCAACCCTGTTCATCTTGGCATACAGAGTACGCTGCTCTGCTGAGTTCTGCCATTTCTATTTGGCACCTTTCAAACCCTTCCTCCTCTGTTATCTTCTCCTCACCAAAGCCTGCCAATAATGCCCATTGATGGACAGAGAAAACTCGCATGGCGTTCACTCAGAAGCAAGGATAAGGTACCTCCCCTCGGTATCTCATATAACTGAGAAACAGCAGTTTTCCTTCCTCTAGCTGCTGTCTTCCTTCCTCTGGCTGTCCAGGGCTTGCTGAGGCCTGAGAAGCCAACACATGTTATGGCTGCCCCTACCTCTTTTCCCAGATCCTCACGGATAACTTGCTCAATCTCCTGCCTGGTGCTCTGCGGGGCCTGGCTATGCAGCACTTTGAGGGTGCGGGTGTACTCCTCAGGCAGGAGGTAGTCCAGCGCTCCCAGGTGCTGCCCCACCTTGATGAAGGTGCCTCGGTTGGAGCAGCACAACTCCCGGAGGCGCTCAGCAGAGCGCAGGTGCACCTGCAAAGAGACCAGAACATCTGTCAAGTCCTTTTGCTGTTACATGCATATGTCCACATATGTATCTTTTTTGTCCAATATTTAAGCAGACCAAGGATTTCCATTCTTGATTGTAGGCATCATCATCTAATGTGTCAGTCCACTATTAGGACTCTGGCTGGATTTAAAGGATCTGAACCAGACCAGGACAAGATACTCCCAAATATAAAGGGCTTCAACACTTGTTTGCATAGGCAACACGACCAGTAACAGCACATTTTGTCTGGCCATAGGGCAGCATTGGTTTGGCACTGCAATTCTGCACTATGATGCACAGTTTGGAAGCTCCTTGCCAAAAGAAAAAAATCATCACCACAACTCTTATGTTAGACTCTTACTGTGAGTGCAGTGAATTAAAATAAGAAGAAAACCACAGATACCATCCCAGAAACTCCCAGGAGTTCAGAAGAAGAGTCTGTTAAAAATCAAAATTACAGATCTCTGCTTGGCAGTGAGGAGGACAGTATGTGTGCAAGTCCTTCGTCTTTCTCACCTCACTTTGAAACACACAAGGGGAAATTACATCCCTCCAGTCTAGTCAGGTCTTGGGTCTTAATGCTTACATTGCCAGCAAACTCTGCAGTGACAGTCGTTTGAGCAACTAAGTGTTGTAAGACTTGCCAGCTGCACTCACAGTGGCCAAAATGCAACTTCCAAATGACAAAACCCATTGCCAACCACTTGCTGGTCTGTATTTCAGCTCTTATGGTTCATTTTGCTCCTCAAGAACATACCAGCCACCACATCCTTCAGTGACAATGATTTATTCTCCCTTTATTACTGTCACTAGAAAAGCCTCCTGCCAAGGACACAGCTATATTGAATAATATTTAATGAACTTCATATAAGTTTACCCTGATACATTAATAAAACCTAAGCAGATCAATAACAAAAAATAACTGTACACCCATGTCCTGTTAATGCCTGACACCGATCTGCATGAAGTCTCCTCATTCCTCTGGCTTCTGTGTCAGAAGTCATTGAAGGTCAAACCCTGTGTCTGCAGCCCTCAACTGCACAAGATCCTGTTGTGATGGACTCCACCAAACGCTTTGAAGTATGTGACAAAAAGGAACAATACCACAAACATTCATGAATACCATATATACCCAGCCATTCAGTAGCTATATTTGCTCTCTGTGCAAAGCAGTGCCATGTCACATCATGGGACAGGCTGAGTGTCTCGCATTTGGCAACGTGTCGGGGACAGACTGAGTGCTGGATGCAAGTGCATGAAACACAGGCCTAGGGGAGTGTGAGGAGAAAGACTAATGTGCAAGTCTCACCCTCAGTGTGAGACTTCAGAGTTTGATGCACACATGCTAACACACACGTACACGCACATTTTCCTACATGAGCAAATACAGGCAAGTGTAACTCATGCTAGGTGAGTGAGCTTCGCCCAGCATTGCCAGCTCAAAAACACTCACACATGTAGGCTGCAAATAAAACCCATGAGTATGCCTCAAGTCTCACACATCATTCTCCTGCATTTTACACAACAGCTTTGAAGCTCCTGCTGTAACAAGCCTCTGCCCTAGCTCTTTCCCTGCTCTCCTTCCCTGTGTGCAGCAAGGACAAAAGCAGGGAAAACGGGAACAAGGAAAGGAAACTGTAACAGAAGAGAGCAAGAAGACCAGGGTGGGAGTAATGGGATGAAAGAGAAAGGGAGAGAGGGAGCCAGCACAGCTGGGTTGCTTGTCACAGCACAGGGAGTGCAGCCCATCACAGCGAAACAGTGTTTTTGCAGCTCTAATAGTCACCCTCTACCCACTGCCTCCAGCTGTGGAGGAAAACCCCTGCCAGCAGTGAAGGAGAGTGGTGGCCAGCCACACACCTCAAAGTATTGCACAGCCATAGCCAAAAGCACTGACAGGAAACAGGGACAATGCACTTACAGATATGTTCCAAGAAACCCAGCACTGAGCTCCTAGCATTGAGCTCAGGCCAGCACAGGGACCTGCAATCTCCCACACACAGCAAGAGCTCATCAAATGACTCCAGGTTGCAGCACGACTCAGGGCAGAGCAGCAGCAACCCGGGGCCGTAGCACAGTGCTGGGTGCCAGGCCAAGCAGCCAGCTCAGGGTAGAGGTGCTGGCTCCAGCACATTACCCACACCACATGGATTCCCAAGGGAGATGGGAAAAACAGGCTGGAAAACTCATGCAACTAAACTAAAAATGCAACTGGTTGTAGACATGCCTCCATACAGGGAGTATCTTCACATATGGGTTAGCGCTGAGAAGGAGGTGGCAATAGCCCCTTTTTCCTCTAGCACAAGGTAAGAGGAAATTTTTGCCCTCACAAATTTATCCAAGCTGTTGAGAAGCTGGTTGGCCTCATGGATGCAGCAGTCCTGGACAAGAGGATCCTTACAGAGGGCCCCAGAAACAAAACAGAATAAAACCCCCTGCAAAGCACCCTCCACAGTGCTCTCACAACTGGCTTGGCTTAAACACCTAAGAGACAGATGCCCTGGCTGGCTGGCTGGCTGGACCAGGGAAATCCAGCTCCTGCACTTCTGGAGAGATGAGATGACCAAGCAACTTATCTCAGAAAAATTACATCTCTATCCCTACATCTTACAAAACTCCAGTCTGCATTAGAGGCAGAAGTACATAAGAGGCAGAAGTAGGACTGTGAATGCAGCTTCCAAGGACTCTTTTCTTATCAACCAGATAAGGTTTTTTAGAGGAAAACTTTCCTAATGATCTCTATTATTTTCTTGGATCTCCCCAAGACAGGTCACTCCAGATGCAGCTCTTGTTTCTCTGACAGACTACATTCCCCTAATCATAGACAGAGCATCACATTCCTACTATGATGTTCAATAGTGGTGGCCCACATTTCTGTTCCTCCTTGAAGAAAATGCAAGGTGAATGTAAATGCCCAGAATGGCTCAGAACTTTTCTGCAAGATACTGCTCTATGTTGCTCAAGCAAAACTTTGAAGACTGCTTTTATCAGAGGAAAGAGCTGGAAACAACACCTAGTTTTACACAGATGTATTCACAGACCCCTAGGAGCACACTATAAAGAAAGGAAGCATTTCATGTACCAAGGAATATCAAGAATAAGCTTCCATCAGAAAGCCCTTCAGATCACAAATGCTGTCTGTGCACACAGCTCTTTCCTCAGTCCACATGGGCATCTCTTTCTGTCTCAAAACCCTTCTCCAAATTTCAGCAGGACAAATTCTACATTGGCGCAAATGGCTATCTGACTCCTCTGCTTTACCTAAACCTCAGTTAGACTGGGATTAACACTGATTATTAAAACTGTGAAAGTAACAACTCTTAGGTGTGGAGAAGAGGCATCTCTGGGATGAAGCACATGTTCAGCAAGCAGAGCTGCAAAGGGATGTATTTTAATTTATCTTTGATGTACAATCAGACCTGTCTTCTCAAGTAATTTGGTTGCTTTAGGAGGAGCCTTTACTCACACAGATTACTGGCACAGAACCGCTCATCAGAATATCACAAGTGTAGATGTCTTAATCATCAGGTGCTGATCTGGTCTTAACAATAAAGGAATTAATTTAAAAGAAAATAAATACTCAAACTAAAATCTACCAGTGAGAACTTCAGTATTTGATATCTGGTGACAGACCTGGTGGCAAAAGTGCTCAGAAAGGCCACTGAACACAGTAAAGTAAGTGGTGGAAGCAACTCCTCATATGAAATCCCTCAGTAAAGATATCCCAGCTCTGCAGGGCATACTCTTAGCTGGCAAAAGGTGAAATGAGGATTAGTAATGCAGAGAGAACAGCCTGCCCATCACTGCTTGCAATGGAGAGACACTCTCCAAGACAGTATTTCAAGAAAGGTGTCTCCAGAAAACACGTGGAAAACTTCAATCACATAAAAATTAGAGATTAATTCAAAAAGTAGCTGAGATGCTAATAACCATAATAAAAGGAAATCTCATATTAAAACTGTTAACTTGCAGAGGACTGAAAGGGAATAAATGTTGCCCTGATTTTAAGAAAAATCTAGACTAATCTGGGAAACTATAGTCCTGCAAGCTTTAATTCTGTATCAACTCCATTAGTTGAGACAATAATTACAGAGAGTACTAAAAATCATCTAGCTAAATGTGATATGACTGATAAAAAGCCAACAGGGATTTTGAGGGGGAAAAAAATCATTTTTCACCAGTCTACCAAAATACTGTGAGCTTGCTAATACAATAGAGAATAGAAAAGAGGTATTAGAAAAGAGGTATTTACTGGGACTTTCAAGTGGCTTTCAATAAATATCCTCACAAAGAATGAAAGAAAAACTCAGTAATTATTGGAGATACAAGAATATCACTCCCTCATCCCATTCCCAGCTCAGAGACCCAGCACTACAGATAGCAGCAATGGAAGACACTCCAATTAGGACAAGGCAGCAACATTTAGTGCTGTTTTCACAACAGTTTCATTTCAACCTGCTCTGATCATTTTTAGACCAGATGATCTTGCAAAAGCCTTGTCCATCTTAGGACTTGCATTCATTGTTACTTCCAGAGAGGATGAACTAGCACTGAAAACAGAGAAACATGATGAAAAGGGGAAGAGGTCCAGGTAGTGCACAGATGAAGCTCTCTACTATAAAAGGATTGACCTGCATTACTGTTAAAAACAAACAGCAAAGTGTCCCATTATACTTGTTCTTACACCAAAGTTTAACTTTCTTGCTAGTGATCTGGCAAAGAAGAGAATAGAGCAGTGACAAAAATTCCACGAGACGTAAGAGATATTATTCATCATTGTGGAAAAGTAAACTCTGCCAAAGATAGGCGAAAAATCAATATACTGGGAGATCTCACACTCAGCATAGACGGCTACAAGGTCCCACATATTGGGAGGTGCAGTCTGTCCTCCCTGCACACACTGCTGGGCTCTCAATTAACTGGAACCATCCAACACTTGGATCACATTCTTGTGGACAGCTCAGCCTGCTCAATGCACGTAGTGAGTCAAAAAATTTAAAAAAACATGTTTGACTGTGATAAAAAAGCTTAAAATATTAAAACTATCAAAAGATTATTGTATAAATTGAATTCACAACCCAACCCTGGATTCTTGACATCCTATCACAAAAAAAGATAAATAAAGAAGGACAAGGGAAAACATGACCACGTCATATAAAAGAGTCTATTTAAAAAGAGATTTGACATGTTAGGAGACTGTTGATGCACAAGAGAGAAAAGTTGTATGTGATCATGCAAATAAAAAGTTCCCATTCCTATTTCCAACTCATATAAACCCACAAATAGGGCATTCCAGAAAACAACAACCATTTTTAAGTTGGTTTTTTTTTACATCCCATTTTGCACAATTCAGCATTAACCAGTGGCACTCACTGTCAGAGGATAGAAAAGCCAAGAGCTTAATGGAATTCAGAAAGGCTTTAGATATTTATGATAAAACAACCATACCTGATTTTATATGGAGCTTTTCATCTCTAGAAGTGCTTTTACAAAGCCCTTTACAAAACTCAGGATTGCTATTCTCCATTTTACAGACTCATAAGAACATTACAGGTAATAAAATGTCTAAAGGGCTTTAAACACTATTGCTCAAGGCATCAAGACAAAAATTACCCTACTGTCTGGCCACAATGAGAGAATACAAACAGGGTGCATTATTAAAACCTTTACAGAACCTATTTGGTGTATCCAGCT